GTGTCAGCAACCGCCCAGCACTCCCGTACTGCATGCACACATGTGTCAGCAACCGCCCAGTACTCACGTACTGCATGCACACGTGTGTCAGCAACCGCCCAGCACTCCTGTACTGCATGCACACGTGTCAGCAACCGCCCAGCACTCCCGTACTGCATGCACACATGTGTCAGCAACCGCCCAGTACTCCCATACTGCATGCACACATGTGTCAGCAACCACCCAGTACTCACGTACTGCATGCACACGTGTCAGCAACCGCCCCAGCACTCGCGTACTGCATGCACACGTGTGTCAGCAACCGCCCAGCACTCCTGTACTGCATGCACACGTGTCAGCAACCGCCCCAGCACTCGCGTACTGCATGCACACGTGTGTCAGCAACCGCCCAGCACTCCTGTACTGCATGCACACGTGTCAGCAACCGCCCCAGCACTCGCGTACTGCATGCACACGTGTGTCAGCAACCGCCCAGCACTCCTGTACTGCATGCACACGTGTCAGCAACCACCTAGCACTCCTGTACTGCATGCACACGTGTATCAGCAACTGCCCCAGCACTCCCGTACTGCATGCACACGTGTCAGCAACCGCCCCTTCATATTTGCCTTTTCACACCTGTGAAGCCTGTGCTTGCTGGAGACAGGACGAGCAGGAGGAGAGACGAAGCACACCCATGCCCACTTCCCATAGCTTCTGCGCGATTTCTCCTCTCAGGGTTCTGCCCACACATGGCAAACGTGTCCAGCACCGCATCTAGACTCGGCTTCGTAGTGGCATGTGGGCCATAGCCTCGCCCTCTGTGCCCAGCTGGCACCGTTGACAGGACCATGCAGGCTGTGGCACTCAGCCCACTGGCCAGGACCCCAGGCTGGCACCACTGCTCCCGTTCAGGGGCTGGGACCAAAACCTGTCCCCATGCACCCTCCGCCCGTAGCATTGCAGCCGGGCCACACCTCTCAGCAGCAGAGCCTCCTGTTGTGGAGCCTTCCTTCCCGTGCCTTCCTAAGACTTCCCTAAAATTCAGACACAACACAAGGTCGACTGTGAGCCTGGCTCACGCCCCCACACGAGCTCACGCTCAGCCCCACAGCACTCCGTACCCTGGCCCCCATGCACTCTCTGCTCGCCGCGTCCGTGGGTCCCTTCCAGCTCCGGGCAGGCAGGCTCTGGCCTGCCTTGTTCTCTGCTGAGCCCAGGCACTTGGCTCATAGCCTGGAACGAACTTTCATTCTTGCTGTGGGGAGCATGCACTCCCCGGAGACAAACAGGGAGGAAGAGGAGAGAGCGTGAGAAATACTCGGTGGAGAGTGGCCCCACAACCCCTGCTCCCCTGGATACTGGGCACACACTCATGAGCTTGCCGAGGTTTTCAAGCCAGATTCGGGGTTTGCACTGCGCCGTCTGCCACGTGGGGTCCAGCCTTCTTAGCCACCACATCACTGGCCCGTGGCCTGGATCTTTTTAAGGGGCACGTCAATATCTGAGCCTGGAAGTGGGGAAAAGAAATCGGAAGTTAGGGATGGAATCGTCTGTGTGGCGCTGTTTCTAAACACGGCATTTTGGCAGAAAAGCGTGTGAGAAAAGTGCTTAGAATCTTTCACCATGAAGGAGTCGTGACCCTGAGGAGGGGGTGGCTACCCACCCAGAGTGGGTGAAGGTGCTGGTGAGGCTGGGAGAGGGGACCCTTGTGCCCGCTGAGGGGTGAGAGCGGGTGTGGCCCGGAGGACAGGACGGAGGCGCGGCGCCGGCGTGGTGCGTTGGAGCCATGGGCACAGGCCGGGTTCACGGTGGCAGGTGCAGAATGGGCCTGTGTGCCACGGCTGGGCCGGACTGGGAATCGGCATGAGCACGCAGCCTCCAAGGCCTCAGAACGCTGCCACTTGATGCCGTGTGGGTGGCCTGAAGACGTGATGTGCGGTGAGACAAGCCACCCTGTGGACAAATGCCATGCATTCCCACTCGAAGGACACTGCTGTCCCACTGCATGGTGGGGACAGGACTCGGAAGCAGGAGCTGCCCGGGCGGGTGGCCCTCAGAAGCCGCTCATGGACACGGGGATGCGTGTGAGCTAGAAGAGGCCCTGCGACAGGTAAAACGTTGGACAGCCTAGTACACATTTTCGTAAAACTGCAGAGCTTGGGGCCAGCAGGCGGTGTGGGAGATAGGGGGGCTGGATTCCCACACGGCCAACCGTGATCCGAGTCCCGGATCCCGTGGCCTGAAAATCAGGCCGAGTGTGTGCGTGCGTGCCCAAAATCCTGAGAGGAGAATGGAGCAGAAGGGATTGCAGTGTGGCACCCCCCGGGGCATGACTTCTCGCTTTCTCTATTTCTGTCTCTCTATGGCAAGTGCACACGCCGTGTGCCAAAAATCTAAAAAAAAAAATTGTTTTTAAGTCAAATGACACTTTTTTTTTAAAGAGATATTTTTGCTATAGGGCACATGTGCTTGCCAGAGAGACAGAGAGACAGAAAGCGAGAAATCACCGCCCAGGGGGGCTGGCCACACCGCAATCCCTTCTCCTCCAGTCTCCTCTCGGGATCTTGGGCACACACACAGCCCTGTGTGTTTTAAGTCACTAGGTCCGAATCCAAACTACACTGGGGTCCGGCGATACAACCGTCATGCCATGTGCTAGTCCCCAAAGTGACAAGTTGTATTTCTACCCATGCTTATTCTCCTACAAGTAAACACAGCCGGCAAGATATCGACTTCGGCCTCTGCCTCCAGCTTTGGCTCTCCGACCACACCCGCGGTCAGCAAGCACGCACGGAGGGGCGTGCTGCAGCGGCTGTGCGCCCCAGAGCCTCTCCCTCTCATCGCAGGGACACTGCTACTCCCATTTGTCAGTAAGGAAGGGCTGTGCAGGGGAGTGCCCTCCTCCCAGCGCCCGTTTCCCGGTGGGTGAGAGCTGTGAAACCCAGAGAGAGCAGCCGAACCACTAGTCCTCCCTCCTGGGAATAAAACCAAGGTGCCACTGGGGACAGATCTCCAGTGTCAAGAAGACATATCTAAAAAGGAAAGAAAGCTGAAAAGATAAATAAAATGGGTCTCCCTGTGGCCAGATTTCGTGGGGTCCTGCAGAGGGGACATGCCGGCCGCCAGGACGGAGCCTGGGTTTCCTAACACAGTCTCTCCTGCAACAGGACATGGACAGGGACCCGCTACAGCAGGCACGCTGGGGAGTGGCTGCATCGGACCCTCGTGAGAGCGCAGAGGAGGTTGCCCTGGGGTCCCGGGGCCGGGGCAGACGGTGAAGGCCAACTGTGTACATGTGGCTGGGGCAGGCCCAAGCTGCTCCCGCCTGTGAGGTTTGCGTTTAGGGAGCCCCTGTGTAAGTCCGGCAGTGCTCCCTTACATGGACGCCAGGCAGTCTCAGTGTGTGCTTAGGAGTGCATGTGCAGTCCCTCCCGGGAACACGCAGTGGGCGGTAACCTGGGCTGAGAGTCACAGCCGCAGAGCCCAGGGCTGGCCCTGCGGGCTAAGGGCCTTCCTGGTGCTAAGGGACAGTGAGCGTGGGGGGCCAACGAGGAGGCATGACCTTGTCAGGCCGAAGGGCAGAGCAAATACCTCGCACGCACCCCGTCTGTCGCAGGCGTGTACTCATCATGTCACTCTAAATAGTGTGTCTTGGGGCAGCCAGTGGCACGGTGGCTAAGGCGCTGGACTCTCACAGCCAATAGTGGTTCAAGCCCCAGACCCGACAGTTTGAGAATCCCGCCAGATGCACGCATGCCCAAACTCCTAAGACTGGAGGAGGGGGCTGCGGTGTGGCCATGCCCGGACGCTTTCTCACGCCCCCTCCTGTCTCTCCAGCAAGCGCGTGCATTCATGCAAACCCTAACGAGCCAGCACTGTCTTCCTGTGGACCCTGGTCCCCCCTGGAAATTCCACCTCATCGGTCTCCTCCCAGTTCTAGGCAGGACACCGGGAGCCAGAGGGGAATGGCCATCGTCCTGCGTCACATGGTGAGCCAGATTGCCAGTACACCAGACTCCACCTCCATTTCGATGCTAACGAGCAAGGCACGTGGGGAGGCGAGTGTCACCCCTCATCCTGTGACTCCCACTGCCTTGGCCAGAAATTTCACCGTCTTTGAGAGCATTTTCCAGATCAATTAGACTCCTGTCCTCCTCCGCACCACGCCCTTCTACCGCTGGGATGGTGGCTGTGGGCCCAGGCGTGGGGGGCCCGCGACTGGCGCATCTCTTTGGTAGCACAGAAGATGTGAAATTCCAGCCCAGGGCTCCCAGGGTTGGCAAGCCACGTGTGAAGTAGAATCGCAGCCTCACTGTGAACAGGAGGGGTTTCACGCGAGAGCGCACGCGGGCACTATGGGCCGTCTGCCAGCGAACAGCCGCGCCCTGTCAGCCCTCGACTCCTGCCCTCGGCTGGGTTTTCTGAGCCATGGCAGAGCACAGACATGCCCTTCCTGTTCTGTATGTGCAGACGCAGTCGGGCCGGGCAGGAGGGCCTCGCCTCCATGGTGCCCGGAAGGATGAGCGGCCCCAGTGACAAGCAAGCCTGCAGGCTGCGTCTCCATACCAGGCACCGTCCGAGGGCAATGTGGGGGCCATGTCTCCGTGCCTGGCCCCATCCGAGGGCACCGTGGGGGCCGTGTCTCCGTGCCTGGCGCCGTCTGAGGGTGCCGTGGGGGCCGCGTCTCCATGCTTGGCACTGTTTGAAGGCACTGCAGATATCCATTCACCCACGTAACCCACAGAACCAGGCCCCAGCGCTGGAGGGCTCTCCTCGCTGCGATTCCAAGGCAGAAGGTTGAGAAGTGCCAAAATGTGTTACAATATATTTTTTTCTCCCCAATTTGAAGACAGGAGGGTGAGTTGGCTTAATAGAGTTTAGAACTGTCATTGACAAAGTGAATTCAGCAACAGTCAGATCCAGGGAGAAAAGGTCGGCCGCTTACTCTTCTCTTGGCAGGAAGTTGGGAAGGTTGTCCCTGCAGAGGTTCATCACTTTCCAACGCTCTCCAGAGCAGTGGTGGGTCTGCGATGTGCCCGCTCTCCCAGCAGCCCGTGCCCGCCCCTGGAGGGCTCCACAGGGACCTGCTCGCCCCACCCATGCAGGGACCGAACCGCTGTCCTTGGCTTCTGCGGCCTGGAGGAGTGTACTCAGTAATTTGTTGCATTTATTTCCAAGTCAAAAACTGATCCCCACCTTGGAAACGGATAGATTCGGCTTTGATGATGAAAATTAGTAGTATAATGAAGCCCAAGAACAATTTTTTTCTTTTTTAAGGAATAGGAAATGAGGTGTTTAAAGAAAAAGTATTATGTGTGGAGCCAGTAGGTGGCATGGTGGTTAAGGCTCTGGGTCCCCATGGCCGACTGTGGTTCACATCCCAGACCTAGCAGCTTGGAATCGTGCTGGACACGTGTGCGTGTGTGCCTGAAATCTCAAGAGGAGAATGGTGGAGAAGGGAATGCGGCGTGGCCATCCCCTGGGGGTGACTTCTCACTTTCCCTCTCTCTCGCCTCTCTGGCAAGCCCATGTGTCTTATAGCAAAAACATTTAAGAGTCCTATGGGCCTTGTGTTTGGTCAACATGGAAACCCCACCACACTCCGACTGAAACTCCATGTCACCGATGGGGAGGTAAGCCACTTGCCGAAGGCGTGGTGCCAGGCGGCTCAGAGGACAGCATGCCCGCAGGACCCATCACCCCTTGCAGCCGTGCTGCAGCCTACTCGTTTTCATTTGAAAAAT